GCCCTGACCATCCCCCTACTCTCGTGATATCGCTACTCCCACTACTGTCCTTGAGGGGTTTACCTGTCCTGAATTCCATGTGGCGAGAGCTCTTATCTGTATCAATGTATGTTTTCTGGTCTAGCCAGATTTGTACAGTAGAACTGGGTCATGGTAGTGGGGGCAGAGGATGTATTCAGGAATTAGAGGAATAATGTGCGTTTCGTTGGTGCTATACTGCATACTTGGTTGAATCGTCCCTTCCATATAACCCTTCTGTAGGGGGATAGCCATTTGTCTACAGATGGGCTTTGGGTCTCCACTCCAACTCCCCTTGCTTGCATCGATATAGTTGTTTTAGATCTTCTGATACCTGATCCCGTCGACACCTCATGATCACCCAGGCTGATGTGCTTCTTCCATGTGGGCTTATTTGCTTCCCTGCTGGATAGCTGCTTGTTTAGCACCCCAGATGCTGTATCTTTTGATAGCCGGGCACCATCCACTCTCTTTACCACATTGCTTATGCACCCATTTTGCCTTCTGCTCTCTTAAAGAGTTACAATCTCAACAACCCATAGGAAAAGTTCTACCCTGTCTTGTAGGGTTGGAATCTACTCAATGGCAGTGAGGGTTTGAGTTACACACTTGGTGGCAGAAACAGTTGTGCTCAACTGCTAAAGTTTAAAAACACAAGAAGCAGCCTGGTGTTCTGTTTCTGTTAAGATTGTTGTTGGGGGAAAGGCCTAGCAATCTACTTCTAAAAACCCCATGGGGCACAGCCCTGCTCTGATTCACATGACACCACTGTGAATCCGAATCCATTCCATGGCACCGAATGCAAAAACATACCCCAGAGTGGTGAGATGTCAACACAAAAATTGTGTAGATATGACAAAATAATAATAATTTATAAATCATCAAGGGTTCATGAAGGAGGGGGAAAGCAGGGAAGGAGGGGGGGGGAATGAGGAGCTGATACCAAGGGCTCAAGCAGAAAGCAAATGTTTTGAGAATGATGATGGCAACAAATGTACAAATGTGCTTGACACACAATGGATGGATGGATGAATGGATTGCGCTAAGAGTTGTACAAGCCCCCAATAAAATGATTTTAAAAAAGGAAGAAAATGAGAAACAGGGAGTGGATTGTGCAGAATCGTAGGAACAACTAGGACCCAGGGCAGAGCAAAGGCAAATTCCCATCTCCCAGACCAGGGCCGGGTGTTCTTCCACAGAGAAGAGCCCTTGAAGGTGAAGGGCTCACAACTTTACAAATTACCCAAGAACATGGATCGTCAGGTGCTAAGGAGTTAATGAATGGAATCGTGGCCCCGAGACATGAAGTTTGCTAAGAAAAATGAAGAGGTAGAATGGAAACCATGTCAAAATTCTCGACATGAAAAATACGTTATTTAAATGATGCAAGTGACATCTTTATCACTGTGCCTCTGGCTTTCCCTTTAATGTATAATAAACATTTTCACGTTGCCACAACCCAGATGTCTCCAGGTTAACAAAGGGACTCTGTGCTCTGAAGAGGAGCCCTTGGGGGTGCAATAGATTAACAGGTGGCTCTGTGTTTCCTGAAAGATTGACATACGGAGCCGTTCTACTCCATCCTGGTGGATCAGTGTGTGTCAGAATTGACTCAGGCCAGCAGTGGGTTTGATTTGGGGCTTTGATGAAGTATTTGTCTTTTCCGTCAGTCAGCATGTTCTGAACACGGGTAGGTGTAGGTCATTGTCGGTCCCCAGCCAATGCACTTCAAAGGCAGCCACTACCCATCTGTAAGTAGAGGCTTGCAAGTTGTTGTGATGTTGAACAGGTCGTAGCAGAACTTCCAGACTCAGACAGACTAGGGAGAAAGGCTTGGTGATCGAATTCTGGAAATCAGCCAGTGAAAACGCTATGGATCAAATCTGCAACCAGTCAATCATGAGGAGGGTCCAGGACTGGAAAGCATGGCATTCCAGCGTGTGTGGGGTCCCCCCGAGTCAGGGACCAACAGCAGTTAACAACACGCTCTAATCAGGAGAGCTGGGGCTGTGGTTGGTCAAGGGACTTTTGACGTCATCAGCTGGCTAGGTTCCAAGTGCTGAGTTGACTGACTGTCTGACTAAAGTAACAAGCTAGACTCTCTGTTTCTCTCTGTATTTTGCAGGTATCGGTTCTGTGTACAGAGCATGAAGTTCCCAAGAAGGCTCAGAAATCAGAATGAGCTGTTACTGTATAAGTGACAGTTTTATCAGTTAGCTTTCTGCTCCCGTATCTAAAATGAGGATAGTCTCACACCCAAGGGCCCGGAAACTTCCCTCTCTGTGTTTCATTGAATTTTTCTGTCTGAACCAAATAAACGTCTGGTACACTCTGACATCATTTTTAAAATATCATTTCAGACAATTCTGACTTAATTCTTTTCTCCTTTTCTTTCAAAACCAAATCCAGTGGAGATCTCGGATTCCGCTCCCCACCCGCCCCTGGTAAAAGAAGTCCCGAAGAGGTTCTCCACGCCAGATGCTGCCCCCGTGTCCACAGAGCCAGCCTGGTTGGCTTTGGCGAAGCGGAAAGCCAAGGCCTGGAGCGACTGCCCACAGATTATTAAGTAAAGAGGGGTTCCTCGTCCCTTCCTGTGGCCTGATTTTGGCCCCTCTCTTGCCCTTTTTATTTATTTATTTTTTTAGATGAGGTGGGGGTGGGGGTGGAGGAGCGAGCTAGAAAAAAGACGCATGTCTCATTGGCTCTAGAATAACATTTAGAAACTGAACTGGCGGCGTTCAGTATTGAGAGTGGATTTGCACAACCCTGGGTCTTGGTGCCTTGAGCTCCTCCAAGTTCTAAGAGAAGGTCCCATTCAAAGGACCCCTAACTACCCCACGAGGCACAAACTCCTGAGCCTGCCATGCCCATTCCACGGCCCTTCCCCACCCAACAACGTGTATGTCTGCCAGTCTTTGTCATGGTGTTTTGATTCTCGACTCTGAACTTTTGTTGTGTGTGTGTGTGTGTGTGTGTGTGTGTGTGTATTGTTTTGTTTTGAATCCAAAATGTTTACCTACCACCTGGGTGAGGATTTCTGCCCTTTCCTCAGTTAGCACTGACAGGCCCACATCTAGAAGGAAACAGGAAGGCCCGCTGCCCTGAACACAAGGAGACCCCCGGTCTCCGGCTCCCAACGCTGCACGCCGGGGGCTTCCTTGGCTTGGTTCCTTTCACTTGTCCGCAGTACTCACTCTTCCACCAGTTGCCCCACCTGGTTCCTGGGGGGTTTGTTCGTTTGTTACCATCTCCAAGAAAGGAAATTCTGTGTATCAGCTCTCAGTTCTTGTCCCTTCTAGTGTAGTGGTTCTTCAGATGACCAGCCTTCAGCCCAAACCTTCTGAGGACGGGGCCAGGAATGTATAGATTCTTCAGGTGGATCCTGGTCTCAACCCTTACCTCGGGGATTTACTACAAGCTGTGCGGAGGGGCTATTGACATGCTGGGACTCTGGAGAGAGCCCAGAGGTCTTCAGGGAGCGTTACCAGAAGCTACTCAGGCACGATGTGGAGCCGTTGTACCAAGGACTTCCTGCAGGAACCTTTTATTTGTTTTCTCTTTGCCCTACTTGGGTTTTTCATAATTGGGTCCTGCTATTTAGCAGCATTTATAACTTAGAAGGTTCACTCCGCTCCCTGTAATACACATCTCAGGAGTTTCCAGTAGCCTTGTTACTGAGCAGAGGGAGGGGATTGGGCAGCTTGAAAGACATCTACATTCCCTTATTTCCCTATATTGCCTTCCCATGAAATAATCAGACCAGCAGACCCACATTTTGCTGGTGCTAACTTTCTAATTCACCGGGTTGGCATATTCCTCTTTCCTTAGATTCTGACCCCAAAATAGATCCTCCGCCGTCTTCTTTCCCTCTCCCATCAGCCTCCGTTATCACTTTTCTTTGTGCCTACTCAGTATGCAATGTTTGAGTCTCTCATTTGCCTGAAGGAAGGATGAGAGCAAAGCTACTGGCCACAGAAAACGCATCATTAAATAGTTCCGCCTCACAGTAGCAGCTGGTATCGAACCCTTGCAATTTGGACTTACTAGTATGTACACCAGACCTTCAGACTGTTAAGAATGAATGTAACTTTAACTTTATGTGTAGCTGTGGAGAGCAATTCCTATTCCACTGCACATTTTTCACACTGATGCTCATTTCTAAATCTTGTGGGTAGGCCTCAGTTTCCCTGGGTTTCCTCCCTAATGTTACACGTTTTCACAGGGCCTTTCCTGTGTAAACTTCGGGTCCTATCAGTCATGGCAGAAAGAGGCAGGGAATGAAATCATTGACAGACTGGTAGACAGTCATCTCTGTACCGGCATACAACACAGGACGACTAGCTTAGCAACAATTTTTACATCAAAGTCTTTAAAAGATGAGCACACCGCAGAAAGGAGAGTCTCAGTTCTTATTTCTAACAACTTCTAAGGGTCCACATCTAACATTTCATGAACAAGGTCACCCCAAATTTGCACTAAGTACCAATGAAGTGTTATTTTGCTTTAGTTATGTTTCAGCCTCTTCTGTTCAACAACCTGGGGGAATTTATGTAAAAACATATACAAAAATTCAACACAGGTTTTGTTTTTATTTTTAAATGAATGATTGCTATGGTAAACACAAGCTTAACTCTTTTAAAATTTAAGTCTAAATATACTTCTCGCGAGGTTATAGATGGTTAACCTCTGTTCACAGACATATATAAAATTAGAGGGTTCTTTTTGCTTACTTTAAAAAAATTTTCAAGTGCAATTGTTTCTTACAGACATGATTCATCACTATTAAATTATAATTTTAGCCAGTTATCGGCAAGTTTATAGTATGTGTTCGTTGTCTCTTGTGTTTAGTTTGCTTATTTTAAAGCAGAAACATTAGTTACAAGGGTCTTGCAATATTTTTACCAACAATAACATGAAGTAGAGACTTAAAACGAAAATACCTTAGTGTGATTTTAGTATTATTTTGAGATTTCAGTTGTATAAAGTTTTAATGTAAAGTGTCCATTATTGAAGGAAAAAGATCTTTCAATAAAAAATACCCAGAAGATCTTCAGCACTGGTGGAGTTTGCTTTCTGTGGTGAACTTATTAATTTCAATGACTCTCTACAAGTAATCTTATTTATATAGTTTTTGTTGAACAAGAAAAATTTCTAGGCGTTACTGTATTTTTTAAAACAGATCATACAAACAATAAGCTGGGTTGGGGGGCTTGTTTGTGGGTTGGTTTTAAGACCATGCAATGTACTATGCACTTGTATATGCTATTTACGGGGGGTGTGTTATTGGCTAAATATGTGGCACCTTTACTTTTCACTGAAGTTCTTTGGATTTTTTAAAAAGAAAAGTGATGATCGGGGCAAAGAAAATATTTACGCTGGCCCTAAGTTGGAACTGGTGACCCCTGGGGAGGACTAATGGTCAAGTGCTCAACTGTAATGAAAAGCTTGGTGTGGGTCAAACCTATCCGAAGATACCAAGGAAGAAAGGTCTGGTGATCTAGTTCCAAAGTGTTACAGCCTTGCAAACCCATCCACTACCATCAATTCCAACTCTTAGTGACTCCAGGGGACACAATAGATCTCCTCAAGGGTTTCTAAGGCTGTAAATCTTTATCAGAGCAGATAGCCTCATCTTTCTCTGGAAGAGCAGCTGGTGGGTTTCAACTGCCATCTGTGCTGTCAGTAGCCCAACTCTTGGCCCTTAACCATTGTGCCATGGGCTCCTTATTATTAAGAATAGTAGTGATTAAACTCCTAAGCATCTCAAGCTATGATTTGGGGTTTGAATTTTTGAGTCAGGAAGTTCAATTTATTGGTGGGCATGGGTCAACAGCACACAGTGCTTCCCAGGCCTTCATGAGTGTAGGGCTCGCCACTTGTCCAAGGGGTGGTGATTGGGGACGTATTTGACTCCACAACCATCTGGGATGAGGTGCTTTCTCAGCCCCCATGTCTTCAAATTCATCAGCATTAAACTTGGTAAAGCCCCACTTATTGGAACTCTGATCTCCTGGCTGGCACCCAGGGAACTGGATCTTGGCCCTGCTTAAGGCCTCAACTCACATGCTCCCTGTTTTGAAGCTTGGTACACATGGACACAATGACTTGGCCACAAGCATGTTGCATCTCAGTCTTGAGTCTGGGCTGGGGACAACAGAGATTAGCAAGGTCAGAAACATTAAGGAGAAGAAAAGGGCTGTCTCCAACGTCCCATAGGGCAGTCTAACATGCCAAAGCTTGCTGTTTGCAGCCACTACACACCAGCTTCCACAGATGTGTTAGTCTGGGTACTTTAGAGTAACCCACAGAAACTCATGAATAAGAGAGTTTTATATAAAGGTTAAGTGCACATCAAGAAAACATCCCAACCCAGAGCTGCCCAGGCCCACAAATCCCAACATTAGCCCATTTGTCTGACACCAATCCACAAAGTCCTCCATCTCACAAAACACACAATGATGCCAACTGCAGGAGGGAAGCCGTATCAGTGAACGTGTAAGCATCTCAGCGCTGGCAGGGGTCTCCCCTCAGCTGCTCCAGCACCCAGGGCTGCATCGGGGTAGATCCATGTGGTTTCTCCTCAGGAATGTCTTGTAGGAAGTGAGCCTTGCCAGCTGAAGCAGGGAACTGGCTAAGGCAGCTGCACCCTGGTCCGACCATCAGAAAGCAAGAGACCTGAGAACTAGAAAGGCGAGGCTCACCGAACCATTTATCCCTCCGCCCTTCAGTTAACCCCACATGTATTTATCGGCCAGGTTGGCACAATAAATTAGCTACCTCAACAGGGAAGACAATAGTCATCTTTAATTGGCTAGAGATAAGAATCTGTAAGGAAAACCAAGACAGTGGTTTTCATGTACAACACCCACTTCTCACTGACAGGCATGATTAGCTCTCAAAGAGCAGGCTGTTAGGCAAAAGTGAAGGATGAGATCATCAAATGGATGGTGGCTACCTTGACGCCGCCAGTGTTACTCTCGTCTCCCTCCTTGGTGCTCACTGCTGTTTGATATACACTGTTAATGTGTCAAGTAACTTGGTATTTTCACTGTTATCATGGATGCAACGTGTCAGTAACTAGTCATTTAGGACTGTGTCCTGAACTTTCTGAAGTGACAGGGAGAAGACGACCTGTTTTGGTGAACTTTGGGCTCACACTACCCCAAATTGAGTACTAGCCCAAGACTCTGGTTTACATTCATCACCATTTCGTGGTTTCTTATGATCCTGTGGGTCAAGAACTAGACGCCTGGCGCCCTAGGAACTAGATGGCTTGAACAGCTGGAGTGGACGGGAATGGTTCAACTGGAGCCATATGTGCAGGGCCTTGCTTGTCAGTGTCATCTGGGTTGCTCAGTTCTCTGTAGTCTCAGGGTCTTGCAGTACATGGCCTCTCCAGCAAGTGGCCAAATTTACAACCAGGGCTTATAAGATCACCAAAGTAGAAGTTGTCAGGACTTCTTAGGGCGTCCTTAGACTTGGCAGTGGCAGTCCCTCCATCTCCACCCCACCTCCCAGCACCATATTGGTTAAAGCAAATCATAGGCCAAACCCAGATGGAAGGGCAGGAAGGGGCTGCATAAAGGGCAGACCACCAGAAGGCAGGGATCACTGGAGCCACAGTGTGACACACAACCACGTCCCCTAGTGTCAAAGGGCTTATGAAGGAGAAGTGATACCAGGCAAATGCAAGCACAGGCCGAGTGCCATAGGATAAATGAAGCCACAACTAAACTTTCAGAAAAACCATTCTTCTCCAGAGTACAGTTGTTTCTCTTTCCTAGCTTTTATTGTGGTACCCCAAGTCACCGAGCCAAAGATGCTACAGCACCAAATCTAATCAACTGAGAAGCATAGTTCTACTTGCCAGCAAGCTTCAGATATTAAAAACTGAGGAAAGGAGATACATCAACTTGAAAAGTATAAATATTTTATTCTATATTGGCACCATGTCCACGTCAAAGTGCAAAGGAGGAGCCCAATTCAATAAACAGATCTTAAGTTTGAAAACCTTTTGTAATGAATCGCAGTGTAAACAGTAAATGGCATGTTACATAACATGATAAAGCTTTTAACCCATTATACACCTGACCTTTTTCTTCCCTGCAAGGAGCTTTAAAAAGATGACTTTATTTCATCTTTTTTCAGTTAGAAAATTAGAATATCGACGGCCTAAATAAAAGAAAATGCTATGAAATAAATTGATGTAGTTCGTTCTCTGAATAACTCATTTTTAACAACTCTAAGAGCTCCCAGAGGAAACAAAATATAGTTGTCCTTCAATAAAATACAGTAAATGTTTAATAAAATTTAATGTAAGGCTCTCTACATAGCTCTAAAATTCTAAAATAATCTTTTTAGACATTTTATATAACCAGTAAGCACTACACCTGATAATTTTTCATTGCTACCCCACTAAATCCAGACAATAAACATAATTATTTCTACACCCAATAACAAGCATTGATTCCCAGACCACAGGAGAAGAGAAGACTTCACCAGGAAGTTCATACACACTTTGCAATTGTCCACTCTTCGATTCCAAGACCCACAACTTCCCATCGGTAGATGCTACTGCCAGCAACGTCTGGTCACTAGAACGGTGGTTCTGAAAAGCAAATGGTGTTGCGTACACCCTTGAAGTCACTTGAAATTTCCACTGGAGTTGCCCTTTCATGTTACAACAGTAGATAAAGCAATCGTGAGAACCAAAAATGATCTCTTGTTCTGATGCCATGATACATGGGGATGAGAAGATTGGTGCACCGGTAGAGAACTGCCAAACCTGGAAGGGGTGGTGCAAGCAAGGAGATGTCATTCATGTAATTTTATCATTTTCCCTCCAAAGGTAAGCAACGGTGGCAATTTTAACAGTAACTTCAAACAGAGAAAATAGTGGCATTTCCTAAAAGCAACAACCACACAGTACACTTCTGTCCCAATGGTACAATCCAGGTCAAAAAGCACTGAAAAATTAATAATTCTAGGAGTTATTCTTATGTATTGTTACAAAGTAAACTGGTTTTGAACCCATTTAAGAGTTAGTTCTAGGAAGTTCCTGATGCCCTGAGCTCAATGAGGACACTGCTCACTGACTTTGATGTCCCTTTTTAAAAAATTGGATCTATGCCCTTGATTTTGGGAGAAGGAAGTAAACTGAGCAAAAGGAAGCGCTTATGTGCCCTGTTTAATTAAGAGCTTTGGACAAACTCAAAGCTGAGTTGTGTGTCTGCCCTGAAAATAAAGTGTTTATTAAGAAACTATTATGAACAAACCTGTTGGCAAAATATAGTCACAAGAAAGAAAAGCCACAAAGTAAGATCGCGTTTACAAAAGTACACCTGCAGCAACATCACGGAATGCAAAAACCAAACAGCAGCCTCTCAGACTCATCCTTAAAGCAGGGAGTGACTGCATTTGCATCTCTCACTCCTCAGGAATGGCGTGGTGAAAAGTGATTATAATGAATGGCTTCAGGACAGATTGTCATGCAGAGGGTGACTGCAGAATACAAAAGCATCCACACTGATCACAAACAGACTTGCTGAGGGGGAGCCAGTGCCCTCCCATCCAGGAAGTGCACTGCTGACAGACACTGGGCCATAACCAGAGCCCCCTGTGGGTTTTCAAAGTTGTGGCTATGTCCCAACTTCAAGTGAAAATCTACACTAGCCCAGCGGGAAAGTGCCCTGCCAGTCATAAACTGAGGAACGAGAACTCAAATCGGGGGAATTTTGGTTACACAACAGCCTTTGGTTTTCTTATCACACAGCAATAGTTTTTAAATTTTCATGACCTCAACAGAGTTAAATTACAATTGACTAAAATGTAGGATTTTGAAAATTCAAAGATGAGGGTGACAAAAGAAGTGTATCAATCCTTGGATGAGAATCTTTTCGACCGGCTAAAGCATATAGAATGCAGAAACACGAGGCCTGGTCCAACAGAACGAGTCAATGGAAACGACTGCTGAGGCTGAAATATTCACTGGCAGTTGACATGCAAATCAGGAGCTACGTTCACCTGTTCTCCCAAATGAGTAAAGCAGAGTAACTCCCCGTCTACACAGCCGATGCACACATATTGTAGGCAGCACCGTGGAGAAGAAAAGAGAGGCTTTCCATAGAAATGTTTCCAAATTCTGTCCCCAGTGACCTGTCAGGGGTACAAAGCAATTCACAGCCTGTGAAATCATTCTACTAAATCAAGTGCCCGTTATACCACAAACTCCTGCATCCTCCAGCCGCAGAGCTAGAAGCTCCAGAAAACACTCTGACAGCATGTGGACACTGCCATGAAGCTAGTACTCACAGCTAGCACAGTGCAATGACCCAGTGCTATCAATAAGTGCTTGGATAAAAACTTGCAATAATAACAAGTAAGGAGGTAACACAAGATCTGTCTTTAGGATGAAGATGAAGTTCTTGGTATGAATTTTTTTACCTTCTGCCAATTTAGAAAATAAAATAAATGATGTGCCCAGTGATTCAGCTTTTCTCTCTAAATTTCATGTCATGAATTCTGGTCCTCTGGGATTCATCTGACAGTACCCGTGCTAACTGCCATGGAGTCCACCCTGACTCATGGATGTGAGTGTATCTTTAGGTTAGCAGCTGAACACATTAAGGGTTTACAGGACGGAGGGCCTCCACGTCTAACTGAAAACTACTTCAAACCTTCTGAACTCAAGCAATAAAAAACAACAGCTCATTAAAGAAAGGATAGTGAAATCAGTCCTTATTATTGCATACGTACAGGATTTATAGCCACTAACAGTCCGCCCAGTGTAGCGAAATATAAGTGGTGTGGGCTTGGGCTCAAACAAGGAGAAGAAAACAGGGTACCGCCACATTTCAACTTCCAAACACAGGCCTTCTTCTGCAAAAGAAAGCAAATGACTGTTTGGGGCTGATCATTAACAAAGCCATAGATTCTGTTTAGCATGATTTTTTATTTTTCCTATTAAAGTAACACATGCTCACTGCAAAGAATCGGTAGAGGAAGGGACAACCACTTAAAAACTGTAACATTTCCTCTTTTGACACAGGAGAGATTATTCTGAATACCTATCTTGATCTCTTGTTTTACTCATTTTGTAAAATGTTATAATTTTAATGCACATTATCTCATATGAACATAAAATGATCTCCCATTCCTGTATTACACACTGGATCTCATTTTGCAGGGTTACAAACAACCTGAAAACAAGTCTATCGGTGCATCTGAGGGGATACCCAAAAATATCCAGAATTTTTTCAAAGCTATGTATTTATATTTTTTACAAAACACCTTATCACTTTCAAAGTATTAATTTGTTATATTATAACAAAGAAAACATTTGTTAATACATTGTCAAATCTGTGATTCCATTCTTGAAACACTTTTCAAACTCAGGTTTGGACGGCTGATAGCACCTCACTCTTTTTCTTCACCTTTTTTATCTACATTGTCAAATCACTGTCCTTTCATGTCCCTCTTCGGTTCACAGACACAAAAAGAAACCACACAGATTGGAGTCAGGTGAGTAAGGTGTGCGGGGCAACAAGAGGCATGCTGTTGGAGTCAGGTGAGTAAGGTGCGGAGCAAGAGAGGCATGCTGGGGTTTTTTTGCCAAAAACTGGCATACTGAGATGGCTGTATGAGCCGGTGCCTTGTCATGGTGGCAAAACCAGTCCCCGTCTGCCACAAATCAAGCCTTTTTTGTGTCACACTGTTACAGAACCTTTGTAGAACCTCTAAATCGAAGCTCAACAGTCTGACCTGGTGGAAAGCAGTACAAATGCACTACCAGTCACTTTTGTTTGTTGGGAAGTTGACAGATATCCAGAATGAGGTCTGTCATCAATCGGTATTTCACCTTTTTTGAAATGAGAAAACCACACATACATTGGAGTTTTCCCCATAAGCTTTGTTCAGGATCACAACAGTTTCTGTGGCATTTTTCCTGTGCAATAGACAAAATGTCAAAGCCTCACACTGTTCTCTTAAATTAGCCATCACAAAAACCGAGATTCGAGCAAAAACTGCTTTTATGAAAAAATTTACTGTGATCAGAGAAACTTCCCAAGTGACGCCACTGGGTGCACTAACAGAGTGAGTTGCTCCATGCTTACCTAGCAGGAAAAATGCGTACTATGGAAGATCCACCCAGTGGAGCTTTTTTCTGGTTTTTTGGGTATCCCCTGGTATGTATGTCCAAGGTTTCTAATTTTTTTCCCCATTCCTTTGACTATTAAAAGTATAAAATTCAAGTACATTTACTAGCCATTTCTTATTTGGGAACCTGTGTGCTTATGTATCTTGATTTTTCTATCTGGATCTTGCTATTTTTTTCATTAGTATCTGTTCTTATTTTTTATTTATACTGATAAATAAGTTGTTGGTCTTTGAAATCTTTTTTGTCACCTGAGTTTCAAACACTTTTCCCAACTTAGTTCTTTTACTTTTATAATCCTTGTAAATTTTTATATATTTTTTAAGTAGGTCTTACTGATATTGATTTGTGATTTTTTTTTCTATCGTCAAGATGGGAACTCTAAACTTCTTACATGTCAAGACTCCAAGCAACAACCATTATTCATTAAGCCCTTACTCTCCCCGGAGCACACCAGGAAACACAGTTGACATCTGCTGGCACCCCAGTAGCTCTCCTGCTGACGGCATGTTGGGAGACAAGGTGGAGTCTTACGTAAATATCCAGGGCATATGCATGTTGGTCATGAGATCCGATGTACAGGAGGCCTGTGATTGGATCCATGGCTGCAGAGCTTTTGATGGTATCCTGAGTGGGAAAAATCCAGTGTCTTGCTCCACTATCACTTCTCAGAACATAAACTAAGCCATTATAACAGCCTGTAGGGAAATTAAATATAAAATATGAGATTTAGATATGGTGATGAAAAACAACTTAGCCTACATCATAATTTATACTTGATGAGTGGCAAGTATACTTGGGCTCTATGTTCAGCTCATTTGATGTAAATTTCAGTCATATAACACAAACTGAATGATTAATTGTATAAAATTACCTCCTTAGTTGGTATGGTACACCTTATTTTTGAAAGGTACTATCAGGAAAGCACTATTGCTTTAAAACAATGATGCCTACTACAGTAGTCTCTGAAAGACCTGGTTTCAGATCTCATCATGGCCACCATTACCAACGATCACTGAGTATTGGGTCACTCTTCTGCAGAACACTACTCAGCCATTATTGTGAGAAACAAGATCACGTGACATAAATGCCCAGTGCACAGGTGTTCAAGAAATGCTACCATTAACAATAACCAAAAAAACCCCAAACTCACTATCTTCAGGTCTGTACTGACTCACAACGACCCCGATTGTGGGTTTCCAAGACTGTAACTGTTTACTGGAGTAGAAAGCCCAGCCTTTCTCTCTCAGAGCTGCTGGTGGTTTCAAACTGCCAAGCAGATGGATTGCAGTCCAACGCCTAACTGCTATGCTACCACAGCTCTGGTAAGCATTAAACAGTAGCTAATATTTACTGAGCTACTGCAAGTTGTCATGTGTTATCCTAAGTGTTTTATATCTACTCATGCCTTAAAGTTAAGAATTTTTCTCATCTCCATTTTACAGATGAAATTGGAGTATAGAGAGATGAGTAGAGAAAAACGACACAACTAAGATAGAGCAGAACCAGGACTGGAATCTTAGTCAAGCTCCAGAGTCTTTAACAATTATTGTAAACTATGAGGTGAACCATTATTCTCTGACAGCAACCAAACCCATCATGCGATCGTGTTTTCATTCAGCTTGTCTTAGCATCACTGGGGTAAGCGTTGGAGACTGCTAACCCCAGCTCAGCAGTTCAACCCTCCCGCTGCTCCAAGGGAGAACACTGAGGCTGTCTGCTCCCATACAGACTGACAGCCTCAGGAGCCCTCTAAGGACCACTATGAGTTGGAATTGACTCAATAGCAGTGGGTTTGGGTTTGGATAGCATCACTGTTATGTGGTAATTCAGTTTAATTCTACAAAGCTCCAATTCAGAAACTTACCTACAACAATAAATTTTCCACAATTAGATATACATGCTGAGGATTCAATTCGATCTCCCAAAATCTGTTCCCATTTCACCTTCCCAGAATAAAGGTCCACTGCCATCATTCTATGAGAATGGGAGCCAATGTACACAGTCGCAGATGACTTATCGACAGCTGGTACTATAACCAGAGGGGAAGCATCGACACATTTGCCTGTGTCTGCCTTCCACCTCACACTTAACTCCAGTTTCTCAGCCCCTGTTTCAGGCTTCTCGGACTTCTCAACAATAGGCAGAGGATTCACACTTTGCATATGAATCTGTGAAGTTACATCAGAAGAACGGGGTGAGGGGCACTGTGCTGATCTAGTGAAAAGCCTGGTGCCATGCCGAGTCAGCGTCTGACCCCCTCTGCTGAGTGCAGTAAAAGCACAGAAGTCACAGCCACAGTTTAAGGACGCGTCAGCTTGCTGACGTCGAGGTTTCCTGCCGCTCTCCTCTTGATGTGTGTCACTGTATTTCCTTTTTGTGGCATATCTCCTGCTCCCTGGTAGGACTTCATCTGGAAACACTGTTTGAAGGATGTGATTGTAAATCTCTGAAAAGGAGCTGCTAAGAATAATTTCCAGAAGCCCTGGCACTGATGTCCCAACCAGATTTTCAATCTCACTGAGGAACCGTATAGACTTTAAGGAATCTCCACCACTTTGTAAGAACAAGGACTCTTTAGGGATCTGCACAGGCTCTTCTGAAAGACTGAGAATGGACTACAGAGAAGAGAAGAGAGAAATATGGTGAAGTGGAGGTCTTCAACATGTGTAGGGTAGTTCCTACACCAAGTATCCATCCTATATACAAAAATTAACATTTTTTACAATGAAGATAAAATTTTAAACTACTGTCTTTGATGCCAAAGAAGACAATTACGATGCTACAAATTTTGCCATAAACTTACTCTATAATTGTAAAATATAACTCTCTTTAAAGCAGTTTTTCTTCCCAGATAACAGAGAATAGTTATAAAAACATAAGATCTACTAATAAGACAGCCCCTAAATACTTCTGGTCTTTTCTTTTTTTTTTTTAAATCATTTTTAAAAATCATTTTATTGGGGGCTCGTACAACTCATCATAATACTTGTGGTCTTTTCTATAATAAAATTTTTGTCTGTTTCACAAAAACCAAAATCACATTCAAAGAATCTTAAAAAGAATGTGGCTAAGGCTTTTATCAAAATAGCCTCAGTGTTCAGAGAATATTATACAATGACATCTTGTTCCAAACCCTTTAGCAATAAGGAATACTGGTGGTGCTGTGGAATAAGCATAGGCTGCTAGCTACGAGGTTGGTGGTTCAAATCCACTAGCTGCTCCTCAGGAGAAGCATGGGGTTTGTCTGCTCCTATAAAGATTAACAGTCTCAGAAATCCTATATAGAGTTATGATGAGTCAGAGTTGAATTGCTGCTGGCAGAGGTTGGCTTAGATAATACAACTCCACATTTTATTTTTAAATAAATGTTGGCTTATGGTAATAATTGTGTGTGTGTGTGTGTGTGTTTAAAGTTACTGATGATCTTTTGGGTGTATATCATTTAAATAGGTCAATGATTTAGTCCAATTTATGTCCCTGACAACAATAGGAATTAGTCTGGTCCGTTTCTGGAAACTACTAGGCTCTCTCTGTGACCGTGGTGGGAAAACAGACTTCAGGCGCTGAGCAGAGATGGCGTTCATGGGTAATGGAACATTACTCTGCTTTCTCCCATCTACTGAGGGATGCTGCCTTGCTAAAGAAGAGTCGGATGCAAGAACGGGGCAGAAACAGGCATGCTACTACTGAAAGTGCCTGTGAGATGATGTAAGCCCTTAAGACGGTGGCATGGCAGGAGCTGGCTCTTTCCTCGGCTTTGACAAGCACTCCACAGCCCCGTGGGGAAAACCTGTGCCAGGACAGGCTGTGTCTGCTCGCACCGTGTATGACCAACCACCTCAGTTCCTGTAAACACATGTCTGTCTCATCTTACGGTGGCGAGCTTAATGCTCATTTTAACCCAAATTGAATCAATGAGGCTCTGCCATATACCACCTGGGCACAATAAAATTCTTTTAGAAAAGTATCAGACTTACATGGGATGCTTTAATTCCCTAAAGATATCAAACATTCTCTTTATAATAGCAAATCTGTATCTTAAAAATTGTACCTTCCACAAATACTGTAATTTTCCCCAAAGTTCCTCTTTTTCACTGAGCTTACAATCAGACTTCATATTCATTTGATTTAAGTAAATCTTGTTTAACTTCAGAACATCAATTTTGCCTTCATATAAAAGAAAAAAAGACTTCTCAATTTTAGCTCAAAGCCTTTATACCACTAGTCACACAATATACATTTTTCATTTTTAAGCAGGGGTTTTCCTATCAAGAGTTTGCCATAGGCTATCAATTCTAAAGAAAGGAGGCCCATGCTACCAAGAACATCATGAATAACAAGCCAAAAGGGAGGGTGGGACGATGTTATCGTATTTCAAAGGCTAAAAAAATGAATTGTTGAATGAAAAGCTGATTTTGTCTGCAAACTGCGGCTCGACCCACAACCGAAATTTTAAAAGGTCAACAAATAAACAGCTCGGCTCCAGAAAGGGCACCCGAAGAAAGGGCAGTGCAGCCTAAGGCTGACAACTGGACGGCAGTACAAGCTGGTCACTAAGAGCACACGCTTTGGAGTCACAGTCTGAGACAGAACTTCACCTCGTCTGTTACCTAGAATGGAGCACGGGTGCGCAGTGGATTACCACAAAGTCAGCAGTGTGACTCCATCAGGGGCTCCTCCTCGGGAAAGCGATAGGCACTTTTCTCCTGTAAGGGCTCAGCCGAGGCAGCAGGTTTACTCTGTCCTGTAGACTCACTATGAGTCAGCATTTATTCGATGGCACTTGGTGGTGGCTGTCTGTCTGTCGTCGCTTTTTCTGGTTTACTACCTTAGCAATATGATTTGAGAGCTGTTACTTAATCTCTCTAAAAGCCATATTTTCCTCATCTGTAAGTAAATAATGTACCCACTCACAGGACTTTCAGAAGATAAAATGAGTTAACTATGTAAAACATTTAACAGAGGCTCTACCACAATAAATTAGTATCATTTATCTACAATAAGAATTCATTACATGCTAATGCATGGCAATGCATAGATATAATTAGTATTTTTGGCACTGATACATATATACTTTAAATTCTTTTACCATGAGATGTTAATGGCAGTGCATCAACCAATAGAAGCTCATCTGGGATCTCATGACTTGGAAGATATTTCTGAAGTTCTTTAAAGAGATCATCTTTTACTACATCTTCTGTGGAGACCACAAACAGAATTAACTTTTCCTGATTACACCATGTCACTGCACACGACTCCACTTGCTGAAGACCTTCAGCAACCTAAGTGAGAGAATATGCTAATTTGTCAGTGAGGACATTAGAAAAAAAGGCTCTTCATACGCTCAATCATATTATATCTGATACAACGTCAGTCAAGCTACCTTTTGGAATTCACTAGATTTTTTTTTTAAGTTTGGTGCAATGACTAATAGTTACTGGCTAGCATACAAGGCTCTTTTAAGAGTTTTTCAAAAACAATAGCTCCTATAACAAATTAAGCCAGTAAGCCACATTCTTTTCTCATTTTGAAAGTTCATTTGGCAGCCCTTTAAAACAGAACACTCTCTTCATCCTGGGAATAAAGGACACACTAAATTACCCAAACCTTTTATTATAATTATTAGTACAAAATCATGACTTTTCAATAGAACTCAGAGAATCTCAACACAGAAACCTGGCAGTAGCCACCTCCAATACCTGCACACAATCACGCATACTTAACGTGCAGATAGCGCTACCTGTTGCACATGCTCAGTATTAAGACGTTTGCCATGACGTTTGATCTGACTGTCCTTTCGTCCCAGAAAAAACATCTCTCCGCCTCTCACAGTCACAAAGTCTCCAGTGGCTCGCATTGTGCCAAGCGGGACTGTCATCTCTTCATCAAGAAAACACACTCGGCTTCTGCCACCTTCACAATACAGAGACACGAACGCAATCAAAAGCTACAGAAGACCGATGCAAAAGGCATCAGATCAAGAACATCTCCAAAAGCACAGAGTTGTACGAAGACACATCAAAGCCAAGTTTTAGAAGATTTAAAACAAAAAAGAGGGAGCTCACTTTCAAATTCTTTCTAATAAAATTTGGTAAAATACTAAATGGGGAATGCAACAAAGGCAGTTTACTTCAAGAAATGCACATGCCTTCTAAAAATTCTTAATAGAATTTTTTCTTTAAGTATAGAGATATATATTACAATACCGAAATTACTTTTATATCTGCCCTTTGAGTATGAGACATTATTATCTGAAATAATTCTAATAAATTACTACTAGAGCTTATTAGGTTTCATGACCAAAGACAATGTTAAAAATGATCACTAAGGAGAACTTTGGCCATAAGCAGAATCAGGAAAAATAGAAAGCTAACACATCAGATGTTTTTGCTTGATTAAAAAGATTTTCAAGTCAACAAAATTAACACTACCTAAAAATACTTGGCCATCGCCTTCTTGAATTGGGAAACCATTAGCGTCTCTGACTTCAACGACTGTTCCAAGCAGTGGGAACCCCAGTTGTACAGGCAAGTCACATCTACGAAAAACACAATCCAAACTAGATTTGACTTTTTTCTCATTTAAAGAGACTATTTTCCAATGTATTTAAATCACATTGTGCCAAATAAAGGAGAAAACAAGAGTTCTTGTTATGCTACAATTCAGACTGGCAAGAGGGAGAGGTTAGAGCAGCGGTTTGGGGGTCAAGCGACATTTTCACAGGGGTCGCCTAAGACCATCGGAAAACACATATTTCCGAAGGTCTTAGGAACCAAGACACCGCTCCTCTATCCGTCTCCAAGTGGGTCTGCCCACATGCAGCTACACCCACATGCAAGTACCCAGCATGAAGACTTTTACCCAGGCTACACCATGCATCAAGACAAAATTTCATTTATTTGTAATTAGAAAGAAATATTTCACATTATATAATTACATATTGGTTTTGTGATGAATCACTATGCTTTAATTATGTTCAATTTGTAACAATGAAAATACATCCCGCATATCAGATATGGTATTTACATGATGATTCATAACAGCAGCAAAATTACAGTTAAAGTAGCAGTGAAAATAATGTTGTGGTTGGGGTGCCCACCCCTTGAGGACCTGGATGCTAGGGTCGCGGCCTGAGGCAGGTCGAGAAGCACTGGCGAGAGGGCAAGGGCTATCACAGATGCTACCTATGCAGTGCTGCTCAGTGACAACGAAGGTCCAGCCGGGTTTGCAGCACAGCAACCAGTTACAGTAAGGAAGGCTCTGGACTTCGATCTCAAACATCCCATGGACCGATGTGCCCAACACCACGATCTATTAATAACTTCACAGGCCACTCGACTCTACTTAGTATAATTAAAATTCTTACTGCAGAGTAGAGTTAAGCATCTTCTCCGGAATCCTGTAAAAGGTTGCCCAGCTTGATACCTCTGTGATACCATAGATATTAAATATCTGTGTTCTATTGCCTTCTTCTCTCCAGTTTCTGAGGGCGGTCAGCGAGGGAAAGGCTTCACCGCCTAGGGCCAGCACTCGAAGAGAAGTACTGGCTGACAAGACGGCTGACTTGATAAGCTGAGACCCAAATCTTCTAAGCAGTGTGGGTGTTGCCTGGAGAAACATTACAAACAAGTTTTATTTCCTTTCACTAATTATTCGTTCAAAGGTTAGCATGTGGCGTCAACATTGAAATTAAGGCTTATCAAATGGCAAATCATAGGAGGGAAACTACTGTGACAACAGTACTTTCTTAATGTGGTTATTGATTTTGACTTAGGAAAAAAACAGTAAAATATTAGTTATGCTCATTCCATAGTTTAAATAAAAGAGCTTAAAAAAAAAAGAGCAAAATCTATCAGATCAATTCCTATTTCCTTTCCCATGAATTCTACCTAGAAAAAGTACATAGAAGGGTTCCATTTCAGCTGATGGGACAAACCTGAATACAGATGTCTAAAAACAGTTTCACTGAGGTATCAGACGTATAATAAGTTGCCAGGCATGTCATATAATTTGGTAAGTTTTTATGTGTATATACAGCAGTGAAACCATCACCACAACCAAGGAAATGGTTCGTTCGCAGTCCCAATGTCCTTCACGCCCTAGAATGGCCTTGGGGGCCTTTTATAGTTCTTCCTTCAAATGGACCTCTCTCCAGACAACTACTGACCTGTTTTTTTCATCACCACAGATTAGTTTACGTTTTCTAAAATTTTACAACAATGCACTTACACAACATGTAATCCTGTTCTGATGGGCTCTTTCAGCCGTGTGATTTTCAGTGATTCAGCCACAGTGCATCACTACTTCATTCCTTTTTAAGATGTTTTCCTGTTCCTTTCTCTTCTCTTTTTGAATTCTACTGTACATATGATACAAGTGATACTCTTCCACAGGCCCCTGAAGTTCTGAGTCGTGTTCCTTCCATCTACTTCTGCTCTTCAAACAAGCTAAATTCAATTCCTCTCTCCGCACGCGCTGAGTATGGCTCTCGTTGTCTTGAGTCACATGTTAACACCCCTAGTACATTTTCATTTCATTCCAACTCATTTTTTTAGAGGTAACTGTTTCTTAGCTGTTTCTAATTATTATTATTATTTTTTAAATCATTTTATTGGGGGCTTGTACAACTCTTATCACAATCCATACATACATCCATTGTGTCAACCACATTTGTACATTACATTTGTTGCCATCATCATTCTCAAATCATTTTCTTTCTACTTTGGCCCTTGGTATCGGTTCCTCATTTTTCCCCCTCCCTCACGAACCCTTAATAATTTATAAATTATTATTTTTTCATGTCTTACACTGTCCAGTGTCTCCCCTCACCCACTTTTCTGTGGTCCATCACCCAGGGAGGGGTTATATGTAGATCATTGTGATCGGTTCCCCCTTTCTACCCCACCTTACCCTTACCCTCCTGGTATTGCTACTCTCATTATTGGTCCTGAGGGGTTTATCTGGCCTGCATTCCGTGTTTAGAGCTCTTATCTGTACCATTGTACACCCTCTGGTCTAGCTGGATTTGTAAGGTAGAATGGCAATCATGATGGCGGTGGGTGAAGGAAGCATTAAAGAGCTAGAGGAAAGTTGTATGTTTCATTGGTGCTATCCTGCAACCTGCCTAGCTTGTCTCCTCCCCGAGGCCCTTCTGCAAGGGGATGTCGAGATCCCTACAGATGGCCTTTGAGTCCTCATTCACAATGATAGGATTTTTTGTTCTTTGATGCCTGATACCTGATCCCATCGACAACTCATGATCACTCAGGCTGGTGTGTTTTTTCCATGTGGGCTTTGTTGCTTCTGAGCTAGGCCACTTGTTTAGCTTCAAGCCTTTAAGACCCCAGATGCTATATCTTTTGATAGCCGGGCACTATCAGCTTTCTTCACATTTGCTTATGCACCTGCTTTGTCTTCAGTGATCACGCCAGGGAGGTGAGCATCACAGAATGCCAGTTTAATAGAACAAAGTGCTCTTGCATGGAGGGAGTACTTGAGTAGAGGCCCAATATCCATCTGCTACCTTAATACTAAACCTATAAATATATGTACATAGATCTATTTCCCCATCCTCATATATATATTTGCATGTGTACATGCCTGCATTTAAACCTCTATAAATGCCCTTTGTCCCTACTTCTTTCCTCTATTTCCTTTTACTTTCCTCTTGTCCCACTATCATGCTCAGCTTTCATTTGGGTTCCAGTAATTCCTCAGTTACATTGCCTTTGATCAAGCCCTACCAGGACTCCTACACCCTCCTCACCATTGATTTTGGGTCACTTGTTGTTTCTTGGGTTTGTTAACTCCCACTTCCTTTCCCCAGAGATCTCCCCGGAACCGTTAGTCCCATTGTTTTCTCCTCCAGATTGGTTATCCCACTTACCTATTCCTTAATTAAAAAAAATAATATCAGGGGGAGCAGGGAGGGAGGGGAAAAAATGAGCTGATGTCAGGGGCGTAGGTGGAGAGGAAATGTCTTGAGAATGATGAGGGCAATGAACGTACAAATGTGCTTTACACAACTGATGTATGTATGGATTGTGATAAGAGTTGTATGAGCCCCTAATAAAATGATTAAAAATAATAATAATATCTACCTTTAAAAAAACCTCAACTTGTTAACTCATTCATGTTTTACTTCCCTTTAATTTTATAAATATGGTTTCTCTTAATTCTTTGGATATATTTATAATAGTTTTATTCAGACATTCTACTGATAGTTTCTTTTTCTCTTGTGTGGGTCATAATTCACTTTTGCATATTTTATAAATTTTTGTTAAACATGTACTTTTAGGTAATATAATGCAGCATCTCTGGACTCTAATAATTTTCTCCAAAGCTTACAGTGTTTACTGATTTGTTTACTTGTTTGTTTAGTAGCTTGTCTGGGTTACATCTGTGAAATGCCTCTACCACCCCAGTCATGTGACCATTTCCAGTTAAAAGAAACCAAAAACTTCTTGAGTTTATATTTAAGGATAAAGTTTGCTCATATCACGTAGGGGTCACCAAACAAACAAACAAAAGGATAAAGTCACCCTGAGTCAAAAGTGACTTGATGGCAGTGGGTTTGTTGTAGTCTGACTTCTTAGGGACCCCCTCCACAAGCAGTGATGGAGCTTAGTGGTCCCCCAGTAACTGGACACTTTTCCCCACAGATCCATGTGTGTGGACAGGAGAGTTAACTCAAAATGTAAGTCATGTTCAGGTGTGCTCCAGGTGTCACTTCTCACAGGGCTCCTTTGTGTTTCTACAATTTACTTTAGGATATGTACACAACAGCGAAAGGGACAAGCTCCTGTACTTCTCTGCTTGTCCAAATCAATTCAAACTCGATCGACTGATGATAACTAGATTAACAGTAAGCCTCTAGGGAGAACTATGAAAATATAAAACATGCTCTAAACCCATAGAACATTGAACAACATTTTTGAAGCAATGAAAACCCTTCATTGTTCCTAAGACATACCTGCAAAACAGTCACTCTGTGGTGGGCAAAGAGAACAGCAGCTAGTTTTGACGGGAGCATTTTGACAGAATTTGGTACAATAAGCAGAGAGGCACCACTTGATAAAGCAACAAATATTTCCACAACAGAAGGATCAAAGGTCAGAGGTGAAGCCAGAAATAAAACATCTTCTTGTGTGATTTTAAAAAGGACCCTAAAGGAAAACAGAATGTAATCATGAAAAATGTCTATTTGATGAACATGCACCCCTAAAAACGGTTTATGATCATTGAGCTTCTGGGCACTGGTCATATTTTATTCTTCCTTTTTAGATTAACCAACATAATGCTGCTAATATAAAAGTAACGGTTAAAAAGCAGTATTTACTTTTACCATGGCGTAATTTGCCATTCACGATAGACTTGATAGGTCAACCTAGCAAGGTTACTATAATCTCCAGAATTCCTTCTCTAGGGTGAGCTATATAAAGATGTTCAAGAGAGGCAGAGGACGGATCATAGCTTCTACAATCAACACTCAAGTAGGAGCTGCTGTGAAGAAATACAGCTGATTAAGTAGCTCCCTAGTCAATCAGTTGGCAGTAAAAAGGGAAATGATTATCCTGAGTTGGCCCCACCCAAAAAAACACTCACTGCCATGGAGTCAATGTAAGGTGACCATATTTTAACATTGGTAAAGCGGGACACCATTGATAAAACTCATATCCTGGCAAAAGAGCCACATGGCAGCCGAAAACCGTATACCCTAGCTTGTTGTGCATTCTTTCCAAAAATCGGGACTTTTTAAAAACGCCGCAGGACACGGGAAAAATTGTTAAAAATCGGGACTGTCCCGCCAAAAGCAGGACGTCTGGTCACCTTAAACTGTCAATGACAACTTGTAGAACTGCCCCTGTGAGTTTCTGACATTTTAACTGTTTATGAGTAGAAAGCCCCATCTTTGTCTGAGAAACCACTGATGGTTTCAAATCGCCAACCACGCAGTCAGCAACCCAATGCCACTATGCCACCAGGGCTCCAGATTTACTCATTAGAGGGCAGTTAAAAGAGAGCTTAGAGCTCCTCTTAGGTCCCTGGGTAAATAGTACCATTTGTGCTTAGGTACCAATCTAAAAGATGGCTGTTCAAATTGGTCCAGGTTAAGATAAACTAGAAAAAGGCAGAAACTTCTTCTGAAAACTAGCCAAGGAAAACTCTATGGATCACAACAGAATACTGTCTAATAGGGTGCTGGACAATGACCTCCCTAAATTGGAAGGCATTTAGAGCACACAACAGACACAGCAATGAACAATAGTAGTAGTAACAGTGAAGGTAGACAGGACTGGGTTGTTTCCTTTTGTTGTGGCTCAGGCCTCCATGGATTGGAGACAGCTGGAAGCACCTAACAATAACAAAGAAGTCAGACAGGTAAGCAATAAAGTACTGTTACTAGGTTTCCAGTTCATGAATGCGCAGGTTTATTCCACACACAGATGGCTGCAGACCAGTTCTCTCAATAGCACACTTGTCTTCGCCTCATTTTTTTAAAAATCATTTTATTAGGGGCTCATACAACTCTTATCCCAATCCATACACACATCAATTGTGTAAAGCACATTTGTACATTCATTGCCCTCATCATTCTCAAAACATTTTCTCTCCACTTAAACCCCCAGCATTAGGTCCTCATTTTTCCCCTCCCTCACCGCTCCCCCCTCCCTCATGAGCCCTTGATAATTTATAAATCATTATTTTGTCATATCTTGCTCTGTCTGACGTCTCCCTTCACCCACTTTTCTGTTGTCCGTCCCCCAGGGAGGAGGTCATAGTTCCTTGTAATCGGTTCCCTCTTTCCTACCCACTCTCCCTGCACCCTCCGTTTCGCCACTCCCACCACTGGTCCTGTAGGGCTCGTCTTAGCCTCATTAAGGTGCCTTCAAAGACCCTTTACTTGTAGGCACCTTAATGAGGCTAAGGGGTACGATAGGCCAGTTATACTCAAGCAGAAAGGTCAGCTCAGAATGTTACAGGAACTGCTTTGTGGGAGTCCAAAGGGGCAATCTTGATAGATTTCCCTGAAGAACACACAGAATGATCATGGGGTTTAATTATAAAAATGTTTTAAGAAAACTTCATTAGTGAGGAAAAAGCCAAGGAAATTGTCGAGGCACTTTTTGCCCATCACAACAATGATGCTCCTTCTTCAAGGGTGGCAGGGCTGTCCTGCAAGGCTTGCATTGGGAAGTCTTACTCCATTTGTCCTACGGTCCTCATCTTGCCCCTTCATGCTTCTTTCATTCCTCAAACACTTAAAAAGAACATGACTTGAGTCCCTGGAGGATGACAAAACTACTATTTTGCTGTGGTGAAAAATGAGTGCAAAATTCTTAGGGGGAAAAATTAGAGACATGGACACACTGAATTTGAAGTGTACAGAGCTAAGGTTGGGGGGGGGCTGTCAAAAAACAATAGCTTTACATTTTGGTATTTTTGGCTAATAAAGGCTTCTATGATGCTGTAGCAATCTGTCCTTTGCATGAGTCTTTCTCCAGGAATTGGTCCCACCTGGTAACATGTCCAAAGTACGTGAGGTGATATTTCGTCATCCTCGATTTGAAGAGGCGCCTGGCTATAATTCTTCCAAGACAGACTTGCTCATTACAGTGGCAGTCAGTTTTATATTCAGCATTCTTTGCCAACACCATAATTGAAACGCATCAGTCTGCCGATCTTCATGTCTGCTTTCCTGTGCATGTGAAGAGACTGAAAATGCCATGACTGGTGTGAGGTGACGTAATACTCACAATGAAGCCTTTGCTCTTCACTAGTTTAAAGCGGTCTTTTGTGGCATATGCATCCAATGCAAAACAGAGTATGATCGTGAATGTTGTTTCCAAGGGCGTTGATTGTGGATCTAAATAAATTGATAATGTAACTGATTATATAAATTGATAATATAAATCTTTTCTGTGTATGTTTTTGCTTATGGGTCTAGTTGTTTGTTTCTTAACAGTGAGGCATAATCTATACTGAAGGCTATAGTCTTCAATCCTCATCAATCAATGCTTTAAGTCTTCACTTTCTACAAGCAAGGTTGTGTCATACACACAGAGCAGGTTGGTATGAGTCTTCCTTCAAATATGATGCCTTATTTTTCATACAGTCCAGCTTCTCATATTATTTGTTCAGTATACAGGTTACATATGGTAAATTAAAATTTGTTGTGCCAACCTGGCCAATAAACACGTGGGGTTAATTGAAGGGCAGAGAGATAAACGGCTCAGTGTGCCTCGCCTTTCTAGTTCTCCGGTCTCTTGTTTTCTGATGGTGGGACCAGGGTGCAGCTGCCTTAGCCAATTGCCTGCTTCAGCTGGCAAGGCTCACTTCCTGCAAGACATCCCTGAGGAGAAGCCACATGGACCTACCCCGATGCAGCCCTCGGTGCTGGAGCAGCTGTGTGGAGACCCCTGCCAGCGCTGAGATGCTTACACATTCACTGACTTGGCTTTCCTCCTGCAATCGGCATCATTGTGTGTGTTTTGTGAGATGGAGGAGGACTTTGTAGATTGGTGTTGAACATATGGGTTAATGTTGGACTTGTGGACTTGGGCAGCACTGGATTCAGATATTTTCTTGGTGTGCATTAAACCTTTATATAAAACTCTCTCTTAGACATGAGTTTCTGTGGTTTTGTTTCTCTAAAGTGCCCAGACGAACACATATGGTGAAAGGATACAACACTGACACACATTTTTCCTGATTTTTAACCACTCAGTATCCCCTGGTTAACTGGAGCCCTGGTGTTGTAGTGGTTACACATTGGGCTGCAATCCCAAAAATCAGCCATTGGAAACCACCAGCTGCTCCAAGTGAGAAAGATAGGACTTTCTACGCTCATCAACAGTTACAGCATTGGAAACTCCTGAGGCAGTTCCACCTTGTCCTATAGAGTCAGTACACGTGGGCATCAATGAGCTTGGAGTTATGAGTTTATCCCTATATTCTGTCACAATAACTGCTTCTTGGTCTATGTACAGGTTCCACATGAGAACAATTACATGTTCCAGAATTCTCACCCTGCATAATCAATAAAACACAAGTAATCATCTTTCTGGTATGCTCTGCTTTCAGCCAATATACATCTGATGTCAGCAATGAAATCCCTCATTCCACATCCTCTACAAAGTGAGACGTGTCCATAAGTGTTAAATATATTCTTGATTTTGACGATGGTTAATATTAAGAGAATACAAAATATTCTCCTACTAATAATTTATTTCAGTATTCACTGCTGTTAAAGTACCAGGAACCCTGGTGATGCAGTAGGTTAGGCACTGCGCTGCTAGTGGAAAGGATGGCAGTTCCAATCCAGCAGGTCTGCAGGAGAAAGTGGCAATCTGCAGCTGTCAAGACTAATGAGCGTGGGGGAGGCAGAAACGGGAAAAGAGGAGCTGATACCAAGGGCTCAAGTAGAAAGAAAATGTGAAAATGTGATGGCAACATCTGTACAAGTGTGCTTGAAACAACTGATTTATGGATTGTTATAAGATCTGTAAGAGCCCCCAGTAAGATGATTTAAAAAAAAGATTCATGAGAAACCCTATGGAGCAGTTCTTCTCTGTCCTACACGGTCACTATAGGTCGGCACCAACTTGACAGCAGTGGGCAACTGCTAAGAGAAAATTACCTGCTCCATTTCATCCTCAACCCTTCCCGGAAGCTAAAATCTACTGATAAGACAGCCTGGGAGACGTTCAAATAATTAGATGAGCCATGAATAACCTACCGCATACTGACACCCAAACTTAAACTGCCCCGTTAACTAAGGGAATGACAACTAATCGTTTTATATTTCCCTTGCGGGAACTCATCTTAACAATTTATATTTTTGTGCACTTGGGGATCAAAATTGTAATGTCACTAGCTCAGAAGAGCGTTCCTCAGTAGAAAACATCTCCCCCACCCCCACAACCCCACCACTAAACTGAACCTTTTAACTCTAATTGACTTATTGATGTGATTTTTCTCTTACATTATATACTGAAATATTTTGGATGCTTTTGTTGCTTTTTACTTTTTAAACATGGCTATAAGAAAATCCTAAGTTACATAACATCACAAATCTCATGAAGTTCCTATTTCTTCTTTTATTTTCTAAAATGATTTCCGTCTAGTTCCCTTATTTCTCTGGTTCCTCCTTCTTTGTCAAATTGACTCTTAGGAGTACTCCTTTAACAGACTCCCCACCTCCTGACCATTATCAAAACCACAATACTACAAGAGTGACGACTTCACAACGTACAAATCCTTTCATGGTTCCCCAAAGCCTACCAGATCAAGTCCAAACTCAACAGAACACCTCCCACTGCCAGGCCCCAGCCATCATTCTTTCCTCAGCGTTTCCCTGACCTATCCTAGCAAGGCAATACTTCTGCTGATACCTCTGCCAGGAATACTCCCTCTTCCTAATTAATAATTTAAAATGTATTTTATATACTAGTACTAAAGAAACACACATAACCATACTCATTCATTCTGTGTTTGGCCCAAAGCCTGAATCAAACAGACGAAGCTCAAGTCTTCGGAGAACCAGTTTAGCTACACTCATTGCCACTGCGTCATTTCTGACTCACAGCAACCCTATAGGGCAGGGTAGAACTGCCCTTGTGGGTTTCCAGGACTGGAATCCACTTTTCCAGAACTCTTTACAGGAATAGAAAGCCTCATCTTTCTTCCATGGAGTGGCTGGTGGTTTTGAACTGCTGACCGTATAGTTAGCATCCCAACACATAACCACTATACCACCAGGGCTCCTCCACGTTTCACTACAGTTCAGACAAAGGTCCTAAAGAGACCTTATTTTTTTAGGACTAACAATTTAGGAACAAGATTTGTAAAGAATATATTTATGTATAATTTCTTTCCCCCATTATAAACAAGTCCTGATGAGTTGAAGGAACTTACCGAAAATGCTGGACATTTGGTATTATACATGCGTGAGGCACTCTGACTATCTTAGGTAGACCTGTGGTCCCTGATGTGTGTAGAACATAAGCTAAGCAATCCTTTAGCCTCACATGTATGCATCCTTCTGAATTTCCTTCACTGCAGTTTCCAGAACTCTTGCTGTTTTTGATATTTTCTTTTTCATGTTGCTCTTTTCCATCGCTTGGCCTCAAAATTGCCTCCGTATTCTTCCAGCCAAGTTTCACGAGCACCAGGCCATTATGCTCTACTGAGAATGTGTCAGAGTTCAAGGTATCATAGGAAGAAATAAATTTCTATTTGAGATAGAAAAAAGTTCACAATGTTAGTTTGCTAAAAGACATTTTAAAAACATACAGAATATAACACATTCATGTACTCCTTCAATAAAGCTTTTTTTGGCCGGAGGGCAGGGGAGACTTGCTATAATATATTCAGGGATGAAAAGATAAGAAACCTCAAGAGTAAAGTGCTGTCGTTACTTTCAAACTCACCTTTAGACAAAACAGGCACATAAAAATGCACAATGATACCACATGGTCAGTGTGATATGAAGTTCACCAGAAATGGGAGGTTGATCTTGATTCTACCTGTAAGATCAGGGGATTGCGGGAACCAATTACAAGAATCTAGGTATAACCTCCTCCCTGGGGAATGGAGAGCAGAGAAGAGGGCGGAGGGAGACGTCGGACAGTGTAACTTATGACAAAACTATAATAATTTATGAATTATGAAGGGTTCAGGAGGGAGGAGGAGGGGGAAATGAGCAAACGATATTGAGGGCTAAAGTAGAGGGCAAATGTTTTTAGATAGATGAGGGCAACAGGTGTACTTATGTGCTTGACTCAATGGATGTATGTATGGACTATGATAAGAATTGTACGAGTCCTCAATAAAATAATTAAAAAAAAAAAGATCAGGGGGTTGCTTCATAAGCAGGGTTTGAGGACTGTCTTAAAGCGTTCAGTAGCTATTCACAAAATAAAGAAAAGGGATGCTGCAGGCAAAGGTAAGAGCCAATACGGAGGGTCTGAGCTGAGAAAGGTAGGGTGGTAGAAAATGTTAAGTATTCCATGAAGTTGGCGTTGCAAGAACTGCAGTGAAGAGGGAGGGACAACAGGTAGAAGTTATGCTATTTGTAGATGAGATGCCAGAATCTGAATGATTTTGTACTAGAACTAAGAACTTGTAAGTTATAAAACCTAATTGAATGTGGCAATGGCATAGACTAACTAAACTGTACTCCACAGATGATGGGTTGAAAAACAAGACAAGACTCTAATAAGTGAGAGGCCCTTAATGAATGCTTTGCAACAACTCAGACAACACAGCAGACATGGGATAATCTGAACTAGTTTACTGAAACGGCAGTAGACAGAAAGAGTCTGTGGGCAAGTAATCAATCATTCTTAATGATTTGGGGGACATGAAACAAACCTAGAAAGTTTCGTTTCTGACTCAGGTGATTTGATGGATAGAACAAATGATAAGATACTGAATGTAAGGTTCTATCTGAAATACGCGCTCAGATTTATAAAAATCAGATAATAAAAGATAACAGGTGTTCATATTTAAGAAATCAATAAAAATAGTTACAAAACAGCACACAGGTCACAATCAGCAGCCATTACTACAACCAGCAACCATTACTGTCTGCTTGCCCAATAAGGAGGTAGCCCACCCCCCCCCACCCCCCATGCGTCATCTTTCATTTGCCAGTGTTCTCCCAAATACTTTGTGACTTTCTCCAACTCAGCACTACTGACATTTTGGATGGGTAACTCTTTGCTGTATACTGTAGGAAGGATGTCTGGCAGTACCTCAGGCCTCTCTACCCACTAGAGACAAGAACCCCATCAACCATCATGACAATCAAAAATAACCCTCCCTCCCCCATTGTATATCATCATCTGAGACAAAATTATCTCTGAGAACCAAAGAACTACTGCTATAGTGGATGTTGGGTATGCAGTAGATGCTCAATAAATACTTACTGCTATACACACACACACACACACACACACACACACACTGAATTTAAACCATCCTCAAAGGGTAAACTGGTTCATCTAGGAAATGGGTAAAAACAGGAGAAAACTGAGTATTTCTTTTGTAATATTTTCCTTTTGTATTTAGTTAAGCAATTATTTTATAAACAAGAATAAAGAAACTGTCTTCATCATGCTGAATATATAATACCAACGCTTGACCTAAGCAAGGTGTTTGGTTGAGAGCCACTTAAAAATAAATCCACTTTTCCAGAAAGACCCAAGTGCAGCCTCTTTTTCAAAATCTATATTTGGCTCTACAACTCTATAATGTTGCTAACTAATGAGCAGCCAAGACTGTTAACTAGTAACCCAGGAACTTTATTTGCCATAAATATAAAAAGATAAAACGTCTCAAGTATTATAAAATTTTCCCAATATAGGAAATATTTTGGCAAGAAAAAGGAAATTCAAAACAAAACACATAAAACTAGAAGATTCTTCCATACCATTGAGCAGTGATTCTGAATGAATTCAGGCCGGACTGGGCACCAAGGGGCACTTGGCAATTCCTAAAGTCAATTTTAATGGTCACAATGGGGATGGGAGTGGGAGAATGAAGCAGTTGTACTGGTATAAAGCAGGCAGATATCAAGGATGTTGCTAAACATCCTACAGTGCAATAGAATACACTATGATTAACAGACCTAAGATGTCATTAGTACTGAGGTTGAGAACTACACATTTAGCAATCAACAAATGGGGTAGGAGTAAGGGTGAGGGGAAGACTTCAATCAAAAGGTAGATGTGACTAACACAAACAAAAGCAATTTAAACGCCTCAACTTACATCAATTTGCTTTCTATCAACAAGGATATACTTGAGGTTACATTTTTTCATGAAATAAGTTGATAATGTTGGTGGTGAATCTGGATCAATAGGAGCATAAGCAGCAGGGACTTGAAGGATTCTAGAGAAACAAAATAGCATCAGTGAAGCTTGTCTGAAGCATTTTACCTTTATCCCAATGTCCAGTGTTTTTGATGACATCTTTGACTAGGAACTTATTTTCTCTTACTAGTAAAACTGAATACACTTAGTATTGACTATTTTACATTCTCATCACTTAAGATAGAGAAATCCAAGATCTTTATAAAGTTAATGTATTATGCAATATTGTTAGCTGCCAAATGTGAGCCCCCAACTGGCAGTGAACCCACTGATAATGGGGGGTTGGCTGCACATGAAGTCCAGTGACCAGAAACAACAACGTAGCCTCTTAGATCAGAATGCTACCCCTGAACCACCGGGGCCTCCCTTCTACTACTAAAATATAACACAGGTGGTAGTCTAATTTTTTCTTATGTCTATGTAGGATAAGATAAAATAAGCTGAACGTCTATGTGCAGCTTTCATTATTACAATATGCACACTGCAAAAGAAACAAACACATAACTATTCCACCAAACTCACACTATTTTAAGGGAAAAAACAAAATTTTAAATTTATTTATATGTGAAAATACTTTTCATACAAAATAAAAGCTCATTTATCATTCTAAAGAAAAGTACACTAATGTATAGTTTGAGACACTGCAACTTTCTACATAGAACATTCTCAATAAATGTGTCAAGGATTGAATAAAAATAGATTTTGAACATTATTTTGCTTTATATATTCATAACTACCCTAGTCAGTTCCATATTATGGATATCACTTCTTGAATTAATCCTTTGATAACTTTCATCTACTGCAGAACCCTAGTACAGAAATCACTGTGTGAGGATAATATTCTAGAACAATCTAAACTATTGAACTTTGTAAAAATTTATTTGTTTTAGCATTTCTAATGGAGTCATGCCTTTAATTTAAATGGACTATTAACTTATTCATTCACTGAAAAGTTGAGTGCTTAAAAAATCACTGTGGGGTCTTTCTGATCTAATGTTTTGTCACTGGCTGAAACTTATAGTTTCTTCTAAGTAAACTCAGATGAATTAATTTATGATAAAAATACTACACAAACACCTTTACCCTGCTCAAAACTGACCAAGAAATGCAGAAAATCCAATAGTAAACAGAAAAGTAACTTGCAAGACAGTCTATAGATTAAATAATATAGAAATTATAACAAAAAGAGTTACCCTAAAATCCAAGAGGGTAAGTTTATCCCAGGATAACAGTAGAGACCAACTTCCTGAATTCCTTCAAAATCACAGTTTAATCGTAGAAAATGTGATAATTCTGAAGCAGTTTTAACCAGAGTTTTATAGTTGCAATAAATTGGAGGTTGGTTGTTACACTCATCGAAGCATACGGCTATTCTATCCGAATAAAGGCAAGCGGCCTGTTGTACCAATTCCTGAAGAGTCATTTCACTGACAATCTAAACATCCTTGGCAGCAGATAAGTCTACATGTTACAAAAACATTAGGAAGAGAACTTTAGGGAGCTTGGGAAGGCATTTATATGGCAAATTACACCTACACAACTATAATGATCTTCGACTTCTAACGGCAGGTTTTCCAGTGATTGCGACAGGGAAGAAAGGCAAAACCATTCTGGTTTCACATGCATACGCATTTTACTTCTAATTCAATCAAAGATAAGCATTCCACAATAGAGAATAACCCCCCAACATTTCTGGAGCCTTACAGGATGGAAATATATGTAATTTTTATAAATCTATACATTATTTATAAACATTTAACAAGATTAAGATATTTGCTAGTTTCCTTGCAATTGTAAAGGATGCTCTCACTAACTGTCATCTAATGCCAACTCAAAGCCACCCTATAGGGCAGGGGAGGTAGGGTTTCCAAGACTGTAACGCTGTACGGGACTAGGAAGCCTTTTCTCCAGAGTGCCTGGTGGTTCTGAATTGATGACCTGGCGGGTCGCAGCCCAGCGTGCAGCCACTGCGCCACCAGGGCTCCTGTGAAGGGATGCTAGAGGTCTAAAAGTGTCCAAACATTTTACAGCTTTGGGGACTCCCTCCAGGTTATCAAATGCCTTTAAAAACAGGTCATCTAGAAACGTTCTTTTCCCGCATCCCCGTCGCTTAACGTAACAGCTTGGTCTAATAATAATGCACTTTAAGGCTTCCGCCACATTTTTTCATTTCCTCCAGCAAGCACGCGAAGGATGGGTTTACTTCCATTTGAAGGCGACCAAAGGATGCGAAGTGGGTAGCCCGGAGGCGGCTCGCGCGTCGGTTTAGCCTTTGCACGCGCCCCGCCCACCAGGCCCCGAGGCTTGGAGCTCGGCGAGCGGTCCGGTGAGCGCCCGGCGTCGCCGCCCTCACTCAGACCCCAGCCAAACGCTGCCTTCAGCGACTCACTCCGAAAAACCCCGGGGGTGGGCGGTCCGCTCCCACCTAAACCTTTTCCCCGCAGCCTGACGCCGACTTCCCTGCTCCAAACACAGCAAAGAGGAAGGAGGCACACCGAAGCCGTAAAGCACTCCGCTCTGCCGCAAGGCCCGCGAAGCTGAGTGGCGCCGGCGTGACGTCAACTGTCTGCGTCGCGTCTTGACGTCATCTCTGTCACCCGCGACTTCCCGCTGCCTTGCTGCGCCAGTTTACAAGTTGGGCTGTGAACCTCAGTCATCCATTTGAAACCACCAGCCTTTCTGCAGGAGAATGATGGGGCTTGCTACTACCAGTTGGTCTCAGAAACTCACAGGTGCAGTTCTACCTTGCCCTATAAGGTAGGTCTCTATGAGTCTGCATTCAATGGATAGCAGTGAGTTAGGAAGAGGAAGACAACCTTACCAATCAGTGTTCAGCCTCCCTAATTTTTGTCCCCCCTTCCCTCACTTCATAACAAGCATTTTTAAGAGGTCCCCACCCTAACAAAAGATTCTTTGGAAAACAGGAGCTGCTACCAAGGGCTCAAGTAGAAAATGTTTTGGAAATGATGGCAACATAAGTACAAATGTGCTTGATACAAGTGATGTATGGATTGTTATAAGAGCTGTACGAGCCCCCAATAAAATGATTTTTTTTTAAAGATTCTTGGGAAACGTTTATCAGCGTGGCAAGGAGTTCTAGGAAATGTCGTCCCAAGATTTTATCATGGATTTGGCACAGGCTCGGTCCAAATTGGCACTTAATGTTCCTTTGCCTCATCTCAGCACTTTCCATATTCTTTGCCGGCTATGTGGAGACTCAAAGTGAATTTTAGGACTCCCACTATAATGGGACAGAGTATTGGAAATCCACAGGGGCAGTTCTACTCTGTCCCACAGAATCGCTCTGAATCAGAATGTAGGACTAATAAAGGTGCCACCTCGTATCTATGTTGGAGCATGTTTATTAGCAGTGTTACTCCAGTGCCTGGTAACCATAGAAGAATGAAGAAAATGAAATAGGCATGAGAGGGAGAGTCAGTAACCTAAACAAACTAAGATCTCTGCTTCCAGAGTGTGACAAATTGGAGAGACAGACATCTAAATTATTAGCAAGTGTGTGTTAGCAGAAAGGGAATGGTCAGCTTTTACTAAAATACACACACACATATATATGCCCTGGCAGCACTGTGGTTAGCTAGTTCAAACCCACTGGAACTGAAACTCTGAAGCCTTGGTTTGGCAAAGCCTACGCTAACTGCAAGGTCTCAGTTCAAAACAACCAGCCCCATCCTGAAGAAAGAAAAGGGTTTCTACTCCTGTAAAGAGTTACATACTTGTCAGGAGATACACATCCTAGGCGCACCTTAGTCCTCAAAGAAGCATCCTTGCTCTTCAATCTCTAAAGAAGTTTTGTGCAGATTTACCTAATGCAACAGGTCTTTTGACCTCTTGACTACTTTTTCCATGAGCATTGATTGTGGATCCAAGTAAGGCACAATCCTTGACAACTTTAACCTTTCAGCTCCATTTATCATAATGTTACCTATTGGTCCAGGTGGGAGTATTTTGGTCTTCTTTACATTTAATTGTAATCCATCTGCATCGTGCAAGATGTCAATGAGTCTTCCTCAAATCCTGATGCCACACTCTTCATTATATAATCCAACTTCTCTGATTGGCTCAGCATTTAGATTGGAAAAGTATGGTGAGAGGATACAAACCTGACACACACGTTTCCTGATTTTAAACCATGCAGCATTCCCTTGTTCTACTCTCACCAACTGCCTCTTGATTCCATGTACAAGCTCCTCATGAGCACAATGAAGTGTTCCGGAATTCCCATTCTTTTCAAGACCATCCAGTTTATTGAGGTCCACAGTCAAATGCCTTTACATAGTCAATGAAACACAAGTAAACATCTTTCTGGTATTCTCTTGGTTTGAGCCAAGATCCATCTGACATCAGCATTGATAGCCTTTGTTCTACCATGCTCTCTTCTGAATCAGGCCTGAACTTCTAGCAGTTCCCTGTCAATGTACTACTACAACTATTGTTGGATAATATTCAGCAAAATTTTACTTGCATGCAGAGCAACAAAGTCCCCAGGGAATACTAAAAGTAGACTTTGGGGCCAGGGCTTGGCGCCCCATCAGACTTGACTGGAAAACACTCCTAAAGGTCAACAAACAGTCCTTGAACTAACTACAGGCTTTTCTTTCTTGTGGTTTTTTTT